CTAAATGCTTTTTTAAAAGTTCATGAGTATGGGGAGTAACTACATAACCATCAGTCTTATAGTTTTCACCAGGAGCATGAAAATGCACTTTTGTCTTCATCAATTCAGAAATACTATTGGCACCAAGACTTGCTTGATCAACTTCCTCTGGCTTCTAAAGTTATTAAAGCGTTTATTAAAATTTGTTAACATAACTTCAGATAATAATGTAACTAGTTACCTTTTTCTGCTCTGATTTTTTATCTGCAACTGGTGCTGATACTTTAACTTTCTTTTCAACTTTTGGCAAAGGTGCTAAATCGGCATCAGTTTTTGGCCCCAATAAGTCAAAAACCTAAACGACAGAAATTATTAAAATTCTTCAATTTCAGGCACATTAAAAAGTGTTAATACCTGTAAGTCCACTTCACATTTTATAGCCCGACCATCTGCCCAGGGTAAAGAACTCCTTACACTTTGCATCAAAGGACCAGTGTTGTATCTAAAAATTTGAGAATGTGCCCATGGTTAATAAAATTAAAAAACTATTATAAATTTAATTATTTTATTCTTCAATTCCATTTTAGTACCTGTATCGTTTCTCAAGAATTGCCTCTTTATGTTCCAACATAGCCTCATTTACTGCTTTTTCAATTTGTTCAGGTGTAACAACAACACCAATTCCACAAGCCTTCTCAAATTCATCGATTTGATATCCATTTAAATGAGACAACATAAATTGCAAGGCCGCTGGATAAAAAAGATTTAAATTTCATATATATGTATATATATAAAAGATATTGTATTAAACACCATAAGCATTCTCCATCATTATTGAATATAATATTTAACTACAAAAAATAAATAACCTTTTTCCAAAAACTTTTTGAATCCGACATTTAAAAATCTGCATATATCGATAATAAACTTATCCACAAATTGCAGAATGTGCACTTGAGGTCATGTTGCTTCATAGCATTTTTTAAATATCAATTTATATCAGAATAATTGAGAAATATGTTAATAGCCTTATAATTATGGTGCATTCAAGTTCATAATTTTTCTAATTACCTACCATCAACTCTAACTGTTGTGTCTAATTTTGATGTTGATATATATTTTACAAGTACAGGCAATTGATCTATAATCTGTGGTTTGATTTTTGTTGCCACATAATAGATTAAAGAACCAGCTCCTTGGGGCAAAATAATGCCCCTCACCTGAAACAATGATTCATGAATTAGTGCTACTTATGACATAAAAAACCAAATAAATGTAATGAGTATAAGTTAAATAAATTAGGTAGTACCTCATGTAATGCTAATGTTAAATTTTTCGTAACAACTGTATTTTTTAACGTTTCTTTCGCCTTTTGTTCACTTAAACCTAAAGCTTTAAAAGATTCAACTAATTCGTCGTTTGATACCGTCATATTGACGCCAGTAAAATAAATTAATGGAAATGATACTAATAATTTAATTATAATGATGTGTGCCGAGACATATGTTGGATTTATTGAAATACTGATGAAATAATCAAAAATAGCAACGCAATGACATTTAACAGCTACGTATCTGTGCCAACACACGTGTTTGGAAGTTTTGCAACTGTCAGCAATCAGCATGAACATTTTTCGAAGAGGTTAATAACACGAAAGCGCCGCCAACAAAATCATTCGAAATTCGGACAGCGAGTTAAGCTTAATTATTAAATAAATAATATAAATTAACAAATAAATAAAATTAATTAACAAAAATGCTTATTTAATGCATCTAATCATACGAAGATTTTTGGGAAAAACAAATGTAGAAAAATTTAGAAGAAAGTAGTGTATGTGTAGAAATATTCTGTAGTCATGATGACAGATAACTGATAACCAAAATTGATTACAAATCAGCAATAATTTATTCTTAAAATGTCGAGTGAAAATATTATTAACGATAATGAATCACAGAATAAGAACCCACAAACAGTGCAAGTGGATGCTGCTCATCCTAGATTTAGAAAGCAATATCAATGTATGTTTTGTAACCAAAACTTTGAACCTACACTTGAGGGATTAAATGACCATTTCAGAGGAACATTTCATAAAAGTGAAGAATTATGTGATATTTGTCGATCTACAGTTTTCTCATATATCAATACTAAAAAAGAACGAAAACATTATTTCACATGCAATTGCCACCTTGAATTTGAAACAAAAACTGTAACCGAAGATAAAAACTGTGTAAGAAAAACAAAACATACCACCAATGATTTATGATAACACACCTTAAGGGTCTAGTTTTAAGACCTTCATTAATTTCAATATAAAATTGTACATGTTATTTATTTGATATGAAAGTTATATATGTAAATATAAACAATATTGTTGATTATAGAAAACATTAGGTAATTTCTAAAACATTGGAATTCACATTAGAAAAGTGATAGAAATAAAATCATTGTATTCATTTTTACCTCCACCATACATGCATCTGTACTAAACACCATACAACAATACTCAAAATGTTTTTTGTTTAACCTATTACAATCCCTGAGTAGTTCACAGTCTTCGTGTGTACTTAAATCAATGAATATACTTAATAGCAAAATTACTGATAGCAATATAATCTTATAGTACAAAAAATAATGGTAATTTTGAATTTGATTATAATTTAAGTAGTGCTAATTTTATATGCATTTGTATAGTTATGATGATCACAGAAGGAGGAGTAAAATAAAAATATTATTTATAATTATTATTTTGTTATCCTAGATGACTATTAAATTATTAGAACAGAATAATTTAATCACGCTAGATTATAAAAAAAGTGGGATAAATAGTATTGTTGATTTTACTGTAATTTTACCTTTACTGAATAAATCGAAATATTTATTTATGTATTTAGTAATTACTTTTTCAATCGTATTGAAGACACATCTCTTAACATTTTTGCAGCTTGTTCCGGTGTTAAATCTCGCTGGGATTGAGCTAACAATTCAAAACCAACCATAAATTTTTTAACAGATGCTGACCTTAGTAAAGGTGGATAATAAAGAGCATGTAATGTCCAGTGATCATTAGACTTTTCCAACTCTGAGCCTGTTGGTGCACCTTAAAAAAAATTATACGTTCTATTAACTGAAGACATAAAAGATAATAAAATTTAATATCACTTTTGTATTATATTATGATTTGCTTAAATTATTGTTATATATCAGTATCAAGTGATACTTATATTATTTGTGATATTAATTTTTTTAGACATATATCTAAAAGAACCTACTAAAAATTTAGTAAAAATAGAAAAAAGAAGAGTAGAGCTTTCATTTCACAATGATATACTTACCATGCCATCCCATGCTATAAGGAAAAGAACATTGAAACAAATTATCATATTTTGTTACTAATATTCTAATAATATCAGCAAGTGATTCTTTTTGATTTATTCTTAGTTCTGATATTCTTTTCACATGTGTTTTCGGCAGTAACAAAGTTTCAAATGGCCAAACAGCCCAATAGGGCACCACAATTAACCAATCATCATTCTCAGTTACAATTCTTATCTGAAATTATCAGAAAAATAATTAATAAAAATAATTCTTACATATAACTCATTATTTGGTACCATTAATAACAACAACCTCTTTCTCAATTTCTCTCTGCACATAATCCATTAAAAGTGGCCTTCCATATTTTTCATAATATTTTTGTTGAAATGAATCCTTGGTAGCGGGTTCATGAGGTATGAAGGAGGTAGCCCATATTTGGCAATGAGGATGGGGATTAGAACATCCCATTGCAAAACCTTTGTTCTCAAAAATTTGCACCCATTCGTATTTTTTAGCTAAATCTTCATATAATTCAATCCAGCTGAAAATAAAAAGAAGATATATTAAAATTCATGTTGGTAATTATGTAATATTTTCAAAAACGCAAAACTATTGTGAGAGATTTTGCTATGATTCTATTATTCATTTATATCTTGTTTGACATTCAAAATCAGCACAAATAAAATATATATTAATTATATAAACCTTATTTTAAAGTCAAATTAAATTTTTATTAAATTTAGACTTAAAGAAATGAATAATGATAAATAATTATGAATCGGCTATGTATAAAAAATATACATTGAATGGATGAATGTATATGTTATAAAATAAAAATTCGAATTATTAACTTCCCGTAGGGCTAATTACTATAGTAATCGCAAAAAAATCGAAAATGAAAATTTTTATATATCTTTACGTTTTAGAGGTTTCTGAACATTTTGGCATACTTTGGAAAAAATTGATGTATGTGTGTGTGTGTGTTTGTGTGCGGATACAAATTTTCGTCGACGATTTCGGGAACACGGTTCAACCGATTTCAATTATTCAAAAAACAATCAATTCCTATTAATAAGGAGACGTGCTGATTAGTTTTTGGCACAGGCAGGTCTAACCGTTTCTGAAGTACGGGGAAAAAAGTGCCAAAAACGGTAACTCAGCTTTTAAGAGAACGGAGGGTCCGGTTATAATAATTCAAAAAACATTTTACTTGTATTGACAAAATGAAGAACTGATTAAATTTTTGGGAAGGCATGTCTAGCGGTTTCGGAGATCTAGTAACAAAAGTAAAAAAAATGCCATTTTGAGGTCAAAAATGATCATTAGACATACGCACATCAAATTATCACACGAAGATTTTAAAAATGTGTATCAATTTCTATGGGTATTTCATCGGCCTTGTTTATCTATGGTTTGCCCGTTAGACGGCGACTCGGCGCTTTCGCGCTTCGATATTGTGTCTCTATGTAGCTAAAGCAGTGCGATTGCTTTGAAGAAAAGTTCAAAATTCCAAAATATTTCAAAATAAAAAAAAACATTTTTTTCCAAGTCATTTCTTCTCAAAAATTAAAAATTTCTCAAAAATCTAATTTTTTCAAAGTTTAAAATAAATTTAATCTTTTTTAAAAAATTTAATTTTTGGTACGGGAAGTACCAGCAATTTGCCTTAAGGCACGAAGCCATACACCACTAGTTAATATTTTTATCTACAATTCTACGTATATTTTGAATCTGACGCGTTTCCAAACAAAACATGTCAGTTATGAATCAGCTGTCCAATCACGGTACTCCATTACTTTTGTTGATTCTTTTGTTTGAACTAGCTTTTTGTTAGTAAGCTGAGCTTATGTTTGACTGAGTAATAATAATCAAGTGTTGTTTTTAAAATAATTTACAGATATGATTTCAGCTTTTTTGTCTAGAATCATTCTTTTAATATGCGGACTTTTATATCCAGCGTACTGTTCTTATAAATGTATCAAATCCAAGGATGTTAAAGGTTATGTCAGGTGGATGATGTATTGGGTGGTTTTTGCAACATTCACTGCTTTCGAAACCTTTGGCGATATTTTGATATCATGGTTTCCATTTTACTATGAATTTAAAGTCTTATTTTTGAGTTACCTTCTGTCACCAGCTAAGGGTAAGTTATATTTTCTATTTCAACAAAGAGAACTTGATTGTAAGAAAAAACCATGCACAGATTTTTGAAATATCATTCTAATTGCTCTACTTGCTTTAGTCCAGTTATGTAAACTGGACTAAACATATTTTATTACATTTTTGCTGAAAATGAACATTATTTATATGTGCAATGTGCAAGTGTTCATAGACTAATAGTTCGTAATAGGTTTATCTTAAACTCCAATAAAAAAAAAATAGCTGAGCTGAGCTGAGCTTGTAGTTGATTAAATATATTTCTAAGAACTAAAACTAATTTTGTAAAATATGCTGTACCTAGAATAATGTAGAATTATTCAAATATCACAAAATGTATTTCATTATTTAAAGCTATCTTTGTATATGAATGGCTTATTAATTGGGAATAACAAATGAAACAAATAATGTTACTAATAAGTCAAAATTATTTCTAGGTAGTACTATTGTTTACCGCAAAGTTATCCATCCCATATTATCGGAGAATGAAGCATTTATAGATGCTAAAATAGCAAATATGAAAGAACAATGTATGCAATTTGCAAGCAATTTGGGTCTAATGCTGTAAAAGTAGCCAGTACTACAATTGTGCAGTCTGCTGCAAAATACATTCCAAAAAGTGTATCAGACTTTGCATTGAGTGCTCAAAGCGAAACCTCTGAAGGCCGCCCTGTGAGAAGATCCCAATCAAATGACGTTGTTGATCGAGGTTATTAAAATAAAAAATTGTTTAAAGATTATATTATTTCAATGAATATCATTAGTGTAATATATTATAATAGCCTTAACCTGTATATATTTTCAATGAAACATCTAATATTAGTCGATTACTAACATATATAAGTTTGCAGGTTTTGAATCGTCAGACGACATATCAGAGGATACTGGAAGTTGTGCGAGAAGTAGATCAATTAGAACCAAACCAATTACAAGAAGAACAAAACGTAATGTGAAAAATTCACGTTCTACATTAAGAGACCAAGCAGCAGATGTTGACATCTGATGTGGTCACTAATATAAGTTTTAATAATATTCTCATTGCCTTATGTGATATGCAATTGCTGCTACAAAGACATTAGTTTTAAGTTATGAAATAGTCCATGTAATACAGTGATCTCTCTAAAGTCTGATAGAAATTTTTTAAGTATTGGTCGGCCTACTAACTTGAATTGAAACCATGAATCATGTTATCATCATATATCATAGCCCTAGTCATAACGTATTACAGTTAGAATTATTTTTCATTTTTATAAAATTGATAAAAAATGTATTTTATTATCTTATGAAATAAACTCACCTGTTGATAATATTGGTTATTTCATCAATTGTCATATCAGGAATGGATATATTGGATTTTGGATGAAAGCACATTACTTTGCACACACCTTGTGCTGGCCCCATTTGAAATAATGGATCAGTACTGGTTGGGGGATTTGGTACATCTGGCAAAAGAGCCGGAAAGTCATTGTTAAAAACAAAGTTGTTTTGTAATCTGGATTTCTCTAAAATAAATGAATGTTGACAAAGATGATTATACTGATTATGTATATATATATATATATATATATATATATATATATATATATAGTAGCCGACCTGGCATATACTCATAAAAACTATTTCTAGAAAGATTTTAAAATTAAAAATTTTGCATTGATAGTCATTGCAAACGCGAGCCTAATCTTAAACTGGTTTCAAATTAAACTTTCCCGTAAGTTGAGGAATATTTCAATTCAAATAAACTGATACCCATTCACAAAAAGTTGATAATTGAATCTTTTATATAATAATTTTTAAGAAAAATTTAATTTACTTTAATATATAATAAATTATTAGTTTTATTATTTTGTTGAGCATAAAATTCAAATAAAGTCTTGTACTTCTGTTACATTGTGTTTAACAGAAAACAAAGTTAAGTTTTTATAATACCCTTTCGCAAGTTTTGTATAAATCATTTATTAAGAATTTTGAGAAGAAGGATCAAAAAAATTAATAGCAATATTTAAACTAAAATTAATAAAGCAATGACATATATATATATATATATATATATATCTTGATCTTTAAAAAATATTCAAATATATGTATTCAAAGATCCAAAGAATTGTTGCAATTAAGATTATCGTAAATAATTATTATTATTACGTTTATGACACTCACAATAAGAATAAAAAAATATATATCTATTACATACAAAATTAAAAAATATGCTTAAGAATGCTTTTGGAAAACTACCTCTCCGTTGCTGCGAACAACACCAGGACAGAGTGGATTCTTGGCATCAAATTCTGGAGGACCAGCTTCATTAACTGGTTCAACCTGCCCCTGCCATGGTCTCTTCATTCTGTGAGGACATACAAGCACCCATTGTCCATTCAATGGATTATAACGCGTATGAGGGTGATCTAAATAATTCAAAATTATACAAAAATTGATTTTAGAATATATCGAACGCTTTTTTACCATTTTCATTAAACTTTTCCATTGTAAACAGGTGGAGATAATTATGTAATTGATACAATATTTTATAATAGATAACAAATCTAAAGTCTGATAACCATTTGAAATATTAGGTTATGTTATGATAATTCATACAATTTAAGATTTGTTCAGTAGGTTATGTTCCATTTCTAGTAATGCAGTTAAAAATATGTAATGTTTATTATATATTCCAAAAGTAAAAATAAAGTGCATTTATTATATACATACGAATGCATGAATATATTTAATATATGTAAAACAATTAGTTTGCTGACTAACATAACTCTGCTCAGTATTAATTAGGGTAGTTGAAAGTCAGTTCAGTCACTTATAATCAACGATTAACATGATTTCTTATTTTGAATACTTACATTATGTCACAATAAATTTATCAATTATAAGAAGATTTAAAACTGAAAACTTTCTGGTTAGAAGCACTCAAGAAACAATATTTTTATGAAATTTCTTTATTAGAAATCATAGAAATTACAAAAGCTCTTATTTATCAACTAAACATGTGTACACAACTGATTTCAAATCCACACATTACTTTCATGACAAAATCTCCATTTGAACTCAAATGCACAATTAAAAATAGAGTTATATTAAATTATAATTAATGTCCATAAAACACTAAAGTATTACTTTCCACTAGCCGTCGCCAGTGGGTTTCGCAGTACCAGGATTACAGAATCGCCTCGTAAAAACATCTTCGATATAAATCTATCTCTGTTGACTGGCTTTGCCTGAAATAATTAAATTTGAACTTAAATAAGGGTAATATAATAACAAAGAAAACTATTAGAAAAAGATCAATATTATAATACTGTAAGACAATATCGAATAATAGAATTAGTGCTTGAGCAAACGGCTAGGAGTTTTCCATTTCTATTAATTAAAAAGAATAATCTAGTTGAAAGTTTTTAACAGTTTTTTTTTCATTTTTTATATTGATAGTGAAACGTAACGGTCTGTCCTTAACCATTACATGAATGCTAGTTAACAATTACCAATAACTTTTAGATAATTGTGTAATATACACCAAATCCTATTTCTTTTTCAAAAAGAGACAATCACCTTTTTCTTTCCTTTGCCAGCTCTCGGTTGTTCCACCCACATCTCTTTTACATTCTCCAAAACCATATTGCAATGCCTATCAAAAGCCTTGACGCGGGCAAGAAGCTTTTTGTTGTTTCGGCAATTAATAAGCACCTGGGTATTATTTTTAACAGATTGCGTCAAAACGGATAAAGGGCCTGTATTAAATTCTTCCTCTTCCCGCTTAGCCAGCTCCTCCGGAGTCATTTCTGATTTCGGTTTGACAGCAGACCTAAAAAGATAGTATATAGTAACATGTGCGTAAATATTATCAAACTCGAAACATACATTATGAAATTGTCTATAAATTAGTTGTAAAAGTTTTCTAACAATCGTCTGAGAACTTAAAATAAACTACAGAAGACAGTTAACCTAGAACGAACAAAAACCCAAACTATGTTCGCCGCAAAAATAAAGAACAGAGCGCATATTTCCATGGTAGCATATAGATCAAACTAGTAGCAAACCTGCGACATCTTCCGAAGGAAACTCGAACATTCCGCCAGAGCGGCGAGTTTAAATTGTCAAAGTTAATGCAACACAACGAACTTTAATAGAAAATCGTAGTGTTCATTAAAAATAGGAATTGAGTTTGTCCCAGAAAACAGGTTTTTGATTGTAAAACTTCTACTATCTATATCTACTTTGATATCCCATACTAAACATATATCTAAAGTGTTGGCATAAGGGGCCGTTCAAGTATTACGTAAGCATTATAGGGGGGCGAGTTATTTATTTGCTTATTTTGCTTATTTTAGGTAAGAACTTTGCTTACTTTTGCTGACAAAGAGGAGGGGGGGGGGTAATTAATTGTAATAAATCTGCTTACGTATTACTTGAACGATCCCTAAATAATTTTAGATGAGGAGTAAACACCTCAATAATAATACAGTAAGTAATTAGTAAGATGAATAAAATTTTCGCTATAGCAAAAATAATTAATACAATTTTTAATTGATGTCTCTCAAACAATATTTATAATATCTACTTATAATGTTCAAATATTTTTTTCGAAAATAAAATTTTTGCTGTCACAAAAATAATCAACACGATTTTCAAATGATGTCTCTTATAACATCTATAATAAAATTACAATACATATAATATCTGTAATTGTATAAATTTGATTAATTTGTTTAACATACATTTTATTTCATTTATTTCATAATTTAAAAATGTATTTTATTTGAGTGTTGACGTAAACTGTAATCAGTAATTAATTACGAAACACGGAACCATAGATAAAATACATATAACGTACATATGCACAATAGGCATTGATTCTGATCAGAATCTAAATTGGAACTGGGGGGGGGTCTAATGTTTTATTTCAATTTTAAAGCTTATTATATAAATATATACAGCTGTTATTTTACTAAATAACAGCAAATTTATTCAGCAAATGCAAAATATAAATTCCATGGGAACATTTTTTATAGATATAACATGCACTGTATATAACATTGATCTGGTATTTTGTCAGAAATATTCATTAGTAGAGTTGGAATAACTGTTAATTCAAATTATCTCTTTACAGATCAAAACAAAATTTTAAATTTAGAGAAAAATCATGAAGTATTTGTACATCTACTCTTCACCTTTTTGATTATCAATATAATGTTCTACGGTTTCGAGCAGTCATTATTATTCCGTTTTTTGCCGAGCAAATTGTATTCGAAAAGTTTCACCGTCCTGGTTGCCGCATACCATTTTCATATTTTAATATATCAACGTAATGAAATGGAGATTTAGCTTAAACTTTTTGCAGTATTTTTCATTTGAAGAAACAAACGCGGGAGTAGTTTAGTCGATATTAAAAGCATGATTTATTCATAGAACTGTCTTGAAATTGAATATCTCAAACTAAATATCAAACAAACATGGAAAGAATTTATACTTTTTTCATGCTTTAGTACATAATTCGAAGAAATTCAAGAATGCTTTCTTACCGATGACAGTAATTTAATATTTATTTCTTTTGTATCAGACGTAAAATGTGGTGAAGCATTTAAAATGTTTTCACAATATGATCAGGGGATACAGTTTAGTACGCAAGCTGCATATATGTAGATTAGGATTTAAACAGATGGTATGTTCTCAAAAATGCTATTAGCGATATTAATGAAACTTGGCACACATTGTCACCGCACTTTACCAAGATTGTGACCAAAAAGTTGGATCATTTAATAGTTTCTGAGATACGCGACGTTGATGGGTGGCTGGCTCCGCGCTCAATACTAACATTTAAACAGATGGTATGTTCTCAAAAATGCGATTTGCGATTTTGGTGGAACTTGACACACATTTATACTATACTTTACCAAGATTGTGACCAAAATTTATTGTGTCATAATATTTTCACAGAATTTTACTAACACTATTGTGCATAAACACTATGAGTTTAATCGAAATCCGAGATGATAAGACTTTTTCATCAAAAAATTTTTAGTGTATTTGATCAGCTTCATTTTTGAGTTTCCGGCGGTTTTAACCAGGAAAGCATACGAGTATTAAAATAATTATTATATGGCGTTATATCTCGCTATATGACCTACAATTAATTTCCAATTTGGACCCTCTATCTGCCCCACACGCCGAGCAATCGTCAAAAAAGTGAGAATTTTTTTTGGTACACTGCAAAATTTCAAATGCGAATATCTCGAAAACTAATAGACCAAGTGTCATAAAATTTTCACAGAATTTTACAAACAC